TCTGTGTGAAAAAATGCTTACTTAGACTTAGGTGGGCTCACTAGGGGCTTTTCCTGTAGATGTTGAAAAGCCGAATGTAAAAGGCCTACACATATACTAGAAGCGGAATAAGTACAACGACGATAAAACGTAATTCTCGCCCACATTAATGTCAACAGTGTATAAAAGTAGGTAGCAAAACCTAGTACACCTTTTCCCCAGTGGGAACCCATTACACACACACACACACACACACATCACTGTGTGTCGAGTGTTTCAGTATTTTTGTCAATTGTAACATCAAATTCATTCTGATCTACAGACACGCTGTTTATTTTGACGTGAGATCATGTGACTAAAGTGAACTCCAAGCTAAGGTGAAACACTATTTAATGTCAAAGTGCTAAAATTTGACCACAGTGTTCCTGTGACCTTTCAAACTAGAACAAATGCCAACCCAGAACAAACAAAGACGGAAGCTCAATGCAATATGGAATAAAAAATGATTGGTTGGCATTAAAAGACTCCTTCCTGTGAGTAGCCCATCCAATTTGCCCTACATGTAGCATTAAAAAGTAAATATTTCTAGCAAATAATGGATCATACATCTCAGAAATGATGACGTGTGGTATACTGTGGGGTAGTACACTTATTTACAATTACATTCATACATTCACTCATCATTAAAACTGCAAAAAATTACAATATGTGAATCTTTTAAAGCTTACCTCACTGGGCGACTTCCTTGGCAGGAAGTGACATTAAAATAATGTTGCCTCACATAACTTGTTTCAGACTGTAACGGCATTAGCAGAAATTCTGACTCCTTTCACACATAATTTGACCTTTAGATATTTCAGTCATCATACTGATGCTGCTGTTGATCTGTTCACAAATACGCCTTTTTTATGTAAAATGACTCATGTGTAAAGTGAAGGGTGGCAAACGTCAGCTTCAACAGCATATTAGGACAAGTCACAGTGTTTACATGCTGAATTGTTTATAATTTGTGGTCTCATTTTATTTTTATAGTCCACCATAGTCCCATCTAGATTATCTACAGATGTTCAAATTATTAACAAACTATGTTGATTGTAAACAGTGTTGGGGTTACGGTTAGGATTTGGACCAGGGTTAGGGCTAGGACCAGGGTGAGGGTTGGGTTTAGGTTAAGGTTAGGGTTAGGATTAGAGCCAGGTTTAGAGTTACAGAAAATGATGGTCTTTTTTTCTCTCTTTTCTTTCCTTCTTTCTTTTACTCTTCCTTTATAATGATTATTAATATGGACGGTATTATTAAAATATGTTTACCATAAGAAAAGCAAAGATTAGAAAAAGAGGATTGTGTGTATGTATTTATGTATTTATGTGTATAAAGGTATATAAAAGCATACAAGCATTGAAAGTAAAGCAGCTGTATAGGCCCATAATGGAACTGTCCTTAGATAGTCATAACTGTGGTGCTAACTAAAGTACTGTTATTGTTTGATATAATTACTATATTGTTTGATATAATGTGAATTTTGTATTTTTCCCCATGTTCTTTTCAAAGGACTTTCCCCAATAAAAAAAGTCAAATTATGGTCAATTTAGTGGATATTTAGTTGAATGTAACTTGAAAGTAAATAAAGTGAACTATCCAAATAAAGTGTTAACTAACTTATGACTCAGACTGCCCAAAATTAAAGAGATAATAATCACTACATGTAATGTTATTGGATCAGTACCACAGACAATTTTGTCAGTGTTGACTTTGAGTTTATAAACAAAAAAGCTTATAAAAGAAAAAGAGGAATAGTTACAGACTAATTTTTGTTTCTCGAGTCGACACATGGTTAAGCAGCACTTCACCACAACTTATTTTTACCTCCTCACAGAGTAAAACTAGCCAGAAAACATGTTTGTGCCTTTTGCAACTTCACAAATATTGACTTTGTCAAGTTCAACAGTAACCACTGAATTCATCAAACGTTCTAGTAGCATGGTTGGACATTTCAGGGAAGGTATGTGTGTGTGTGTGCGCTTCTGTATGTTTGTGTGTGTGGGTGTGTGTGAAAAGGGAACGTGCAACAGGATAAACTGTGGTGACAGTAGTGAGCATGCTTGTGCTCTCAGTAGTGAGCTGATCAAATCTCTCACAAAAATATCTCACAGCACTTCATTTTTTGTAGCTGTGCATCAGACAGCTTTCTGAACCTGATCTGCAAATGACTCTGACTTAGGTAAGTTCAGCAAAATTTAAGTTGTGTTATGTTTTTTCTCTCCCCAGCGCCTCTGATGTAGATCACGGTGACAAAAAAGTGACACTTTACTTTGCACTCTTGCTTCCAGCACTGATGATACTGATCTCTTCCTGAACTTATTATGGTAGGTGATTGGCATGTGTGAGATATCTCACCTTTTAGCACTTCTAGCAGTAGATAATGTTTCGCCATGAGGACTGAAACATTGTCAACTAGCATTTTAAAACTACACAATTCAAACACGTCTCTGTGGTCCTCAAACCTCCAGATGGTCCACACAGTTGTATGCAAAGGTTTGTGCACCCCCCTCACCACCAACCCCCGGTCAAATTACGTTTTTGTTGATTTACTAAGGGAAAAGTTAACACAACTTGCACAGAGAACACACTCAAATGCTGCAGATTTTAGTGTCCAATTTCTACGTATTTGCTAAATTTAACACATAAAATGTGACATGCATAAAGGTTTATGTTTTATTTTTACTGTCATATAAAGTTCAACAAATAAGCAGTAATTGTGCATTAAAATGTGCAGCAGTGTGACAAAACATGTCATTTGATTAGAGGTGCCCAAACTGTTGCATACAACTGTAATTGCTGTAGTACTCAAGTCCGGTCTCAGTCTCAAAAGTGTCAATTAACTGTCTTGGTCTCGACATCATTTGGGCTCGGTCTCGGGGTGAGGTGGATTCGGAAATCGTTGTCGAGACCTGTTGAGTGCGATGCCACAGCATCTGAGGTAACTGGAAACTGAACTTTTTTCTATTGTTACTGAATATCAGCAAAACTTTTAAACAAGTCTTTTCTCCACACGTTTGAATAAAATGCATGGTTTTGTTTGTTCTTGTTCATTGTTTCCAAAATTCAAACAGCTCCCGAGGGCAGATCAGAATGATTTTATTACTGTTTTCATTTAATAATTATAAAGGATGCATGTTGTTTGGTTTATATTAAGTTGCATTTAGGTGGTGACTGTACCTTTTATCAAAGAAGGGACAGAGAAAATTAAACTATGATAAAAATTTATAATGTTTTTAGGCCACAAATTATTTAATAAAAAATGATATAATCTGTTGCAAATATAAATTATAAAAATAAAATACTGCTGTTGTCGGGAGAAAACCTTGTATCTCCAAAATTACAACTTTACAGGAAAAGGAAAAAAAACTACTTTACTTTTAATGTAAGTTAATGGAACCAGACTTTTTTCCAAGTCATTCGGGGCCATTTCTTTGGGCCTATTTATCATGCGTTTTACACACAATGTAAAGGGCAACCGGCATTTTCAAATTATGTTAAAAACTGAAAAACGACAAAAATGGAGATACAAGGTTTTCTTCTGACAACAGTGATATATTTTACAAATTATATTTAAAATTTTTGATTTTATTTATTAATGTATATTATGCAAATGAACAATAATGAATGTACAATGAACTACAAATGAACTTTAGTTCCCCCCACACTTTCTTCTTTTTTTGATTTTTAAATTCCAAAAAAAAATCATAATATGGTCTTGGCCTCAACCGTGACTGGAGTAGTAACAAAGTCTTGGCCTTGGTCTCAATGTGTCCAGGTCTCTGTCTCGACTCTGACTCACCACTAGTGGTCTTGACTACAACTCTAGCTCCAATCCAATTTGCAACACAAGACTGGTTTGAGAACCACTGAGCTACAAAAACAATGCATTTAAACGTTTTCTCTAATCATTATTTGGCCCAGTCCAGTTTGATGATTTAAGCCAGCATACATGTGCAATTTTAGCCCTTTTCAAGCCCGATTCGGTTGTAGCCGACGAAATTAACAGAACAAGCAAGCTCCAACTGAGAATGATGATGAACACCTCACACACTGCACTGTAAGCAGCGACTGATGGAGCTGAATTTTTGTTGGCTACAACCAAATCAGGTTTAAAAAGGGCTAAACACTCTGATGTGTGATCGCCTGCCTTGCAGTGTGAGCAAACCCCAAAGTCACACCCAAAACCACAAATAGATAATCACAACTGCCCCTACTCAGGTGAAGACACACAGGCTAAAGGCAGATTTACACTGTGCGATAATCGTCACGGTAACGCAGAATAAAAAAAACGTGAAATAATTCTTTGATTGTGAATTAAAGTCAGTGGTCTTCTGAACAATAATGTGACACACTCCACGATGACCAATTTACTGCCTCTACAACCAAAGACAGCCTACAATGAAGTTCTGGCGGTGTCCGAAATTTTGGTCCAAAATGTCACAGTGTGACCTCTGCTATGACACACGGCTAAAAACAACCACTAAAGAGACGCATGGAATGATAACTGAAGGAACTTTGTTGTTCACAAGTCTAAGAATATTAGCTTAGGCTATTAGTGTGGCTCTCAGCTCACATACAGAGTGACCTGCAGTGAAATAGCAGAGCTAACTACCGCACTGTGAGCAGAAAAAAATTAGCCTACTGACATCAAGTTCACTTTGGAGAATAAGCATTTAGTGTAACCATATGAGGCACAATACAGGGCAGCCTATCAGAACAGAGGATTTTGACATGTATCAGTCTTAAAGGCACAGTAATAAAGCAGCCTGCTTAATTGTAAGAGCTAAAGGTTGGAAAATGACCATGTAAAAATGAATCTAGACCGTTACTGGTATATATCATCACACAAACCATACAAATGACTTCAGTGAAAAGTAAAAGAGCAGAAAATGGGATCTTTAAAAAGAAAGGCACCAAATAGGAGGGATCCCCTGAAGAACCATGTTTTGTTCCCTAAAGAACTAGTGCATCTTAGGTTCATTTTATGCGCCACCCATAGATTCAACTTCATAAAGTGCAACTAATGAAAGAAGAAAAAAGCAACAGAGGTTATCATGGATTCTAAGGTTTATGGATACCACTTAGCAGCAGCACACATGCTAACTGTTATAGCCAACAATTATGAAACTAGGCAGTTAACCAAAGAGTATAAGGAAGATGAACACATAACGGAAGGTTTGCAGGGGGAAGATAACATGAAGAGAGTGAGTAAAACAAGTAAGACAATATGCAAATAGCTAGTGCCAGGAACCAGTGGCACAGATGTTGAGTTTTACACAACAAAGTTGCATTGACAAAACAAACACTTACCAAGTAAATCTGACAGCTCACTGTAGTTCCCAGAAACAACACAGCCGACTCAGTTCCATGAATGTATTTAAGGAACGTCAACAAGAGAGGAGAACTGATTAAAACCAACAACAGAGCGATTTCATTTTTTGAGCCTAAGACGTCTTAAGGTTTTCGAAGACTCCCTTCAGACATATTTTGACCTTTAGGTGACCGCGCAACGGAAATCATATTGTTTTGAACTGTTCACATATGAGTTCCCGTTTAAAGCAGAGTGAATGTGCTCCAGACTCACTCAGAGTAGAGGCTCCCAGGGGAGCTGTGATGGTACCAAAAGAGAGAGAGAGAGAGAGAGAGAGAGAGAGAGAGAGAGAGAGAGAGAGAGAGAGAGAGAGAGAGAGGGGGAGATGGAATGAGGCTCCTGCTTGTAAATTCTCTTGAGTGGTGCTTTGTCACTTGATTTTACTTTGTCTAAAAGATCTAAGAACACTAAGACTACTCTCACTAATTAGAAATGGCTTCAGTGCCTCATATACAGTTAATGTGAAAGTTGACAAATTACATGTTTTTGATCTTCTAAGTGAAAATAAATTAGCACATCCTCTACAGACAACACCCTCTGCATATTTCATACACAATTACTCTTTATTTGCTGAATTTTATGTGCTGGTAAAACAAAAAAATTTAAAAAACAAAAACATGAGGCTTGAATTTTTTCCAATATGTTAAATGACACCTCTAAATCTCCATGGATGATCCACACCTCAAACAGACTCACTATGATCTTACTGTAACTTCAATCTAACAAATCTATACCTGCACATATAGATTGACATCTTGTACATCTTCTATCCATATTTTTTATAATCTGGAATATATATATATATTGATATATATCAATATTCTATCTCCTGCATCCCATTTATTTACCTCTGTCTCACTAATTGCATATATGTAAATGTGTACAACTGTACATATCACAGCTTTTATTTCATAACCTATATTACTGTTACAAAACTGTACATTGGAAATGGTGCAATGCTGGTGTATATTTAGAGTCTAATGTGTATATATTTTTATATACTTTTAATATATTTTTGTATTTAAGTACTACTAGGGGGCTATGCACCTAAGATTTTCACTCACCTTCCCACCTGTGCAAATGTGATGTGACGATAAAAATGATTTAATTAAAAAAAAAAAAATTACAGAAAACTCACATACATTTAAGGTCCGTGTAGAGAATGTGTGAACTTACTTTCTCTTAGGAAATCAAGAAAACATGCAATTGAGGAAACGTCCTCATACAACCCTTAAATAATGGGTTGTTTTGAAAGCTAAAGCCGTCACCTGTTTACCAGTGTTTCCGTGGAAAACATCTTGGACTTCAAAAGTACCCCTTGTGTCTGTGTTTGACCACACGGCCGAGGCTTTCACAACAAAATGCTCTCACCTACTTGCTGACACAGAAATCACTAGTGGAATATGTAGCAATGCAGTGTTTCCTGTTTGTTCTCCTAGTATAGCATAGTGGAGTACAGCATGCCGACACGTGCTTGAGGCCACCGTGACGTCAAAACAAAGGAAGAGACACTTCTGTAAAATAAATGCTGCCTCTTGTGCAAGCGGAGTGCGTGCGTCAGACTCCAAAAGTGTCCGACACACAGACCCCAAAGTGCAAAATAACAGAAGCTTAGAAGGTCAGCAACATGCCCAGTGTACAGAGGACAGTGGAGCAATAATGGAAGAACAGGCAGCAACAGAGTAAGGTACTTTCACGATTACCTTCTACTTAGTTTACTTGTGTTTAATCAAGTGTGCAGGGTCTCTTGCCTTGACTTTACATTTCTACTGTCTGTTATATGAAAGAACTGGTTCTTAGAACATCTTATCAGGCTCATCAGGACAGATGCAGAAATGACTACAGTAGTGAATCTTCATTCCAATGAATGATAACTGGACTTCATGTCTCAAATGAAATCTAACATATGTGTGTGTGTTTACGGGTAAACTAGATTTATTGTTTCTTTCCTACTGCTCCATATATAAGTGCTTAGACACATGCAATACTGTGCAAAAGTCAGCAATCCCTTTTATTAACCTTCAATAGGGCCACTGAGTACAAGTTATTCATTTCTCAGTTGTAAAAAATCCAGAAAACACAAGTTCTACATTAAAATATCGATGTTTTTTAGTATTTAGTGTGTTAGTCTTTTTTATTACAGCTGTTCTTTTTGGGAGACCTGCTTTCAGTTTTTCAAAGAAATCTGCAGGGATATTTTTTCACACCTCCAAAGTTCAGTCTTAGAAGTTGCTTGCATTTTCTGCTTCTAACGAGCCACGTAATCCTAAACACACTGAGTGATGTTGAGGTCTGGAGGGGTGGACAATCCATTCTTCTGAGAATATTAGCAGCTTCTTTGTATCATTTGCAAATGTTCTTCTTTATTGTCTATTTCCTTTTCTCAGTAAGGGACTTCTTGACAGCTGCACATCCTTTCAGAGACATAGTGCTGACTTCTCACAGTGGAAGGATGGACAAAAACACCTGCAGATTTTTTCAGATCTGAAGCGAGAGGGGAGCTTGGTTTTTTTTTCTATATCTGAAACATAAAAGCTTTAAGTACTGTTTATCAGAGGGTGGGCTACCAGGTCTTGCATAGTTACTAGGAGTTTTTAAGAATTTTTTTGAATTCCAGTTTTTCCACTTATTTTCCTTTTGATTGACCTAAGTGGATTATTTTATATCTAATCTTTCTCAGTAATATCTCTTGAAAACGAATAACTTGTACTTAATGGTTGTTTTGATGGAGATTAAATAAATGAGGAGAGGTCTCTGACTTTTGCACAATACTGTATATTGAGACATATTGCATAAATATGTTTTAGATATGAGGGAATATTTTAATGTGTTTTTTTCTTCCATATGAGTCTGGTGGTGACTACATGGCTCTACTCTATGTGTAAGTGTGTGATGTCATGCTGGGAGGAGGTGCTCAAGCAGATGTGCGTTAGCTAATGGTGTCTGAGAGCAGCTGGGCAGGGCTGATAGACGAGCAATAACATCATGACATCACCGAGAGAGAAAGAGAGAGGTGGGGGGGAGTAATCGAGCCACTCTAAGGGAGAGGGCCGGCAGTCAGAGAGCAGAAGGAAGGAGAGTGGGAGAGAGGGAGAGTGTGTATTGCATGTTAGAGGGGTGAAGACGACACTGCACCAAATCCACAGAGGAGGCTTCTCTTCCCAGAGGATTCTTGTGGATTTCCCTTTCTCTCCCGTTGTATTTTTTCCCTTTTTCTTTTTCCCCCCTTTCCCCTTCCCCTTCCCCCCCCTTGTGGCCAGTGACCCTCCCCTGCTCTGGGCTGCCTCTCCGGGCATGCTACTTAAGCCCAAGTATGGCCGCTTCCGCAACGACTCCGTGACCTCCTCCGACGACCTGATGCAGAGCTTGGCCATGAGCGGGAAGGTAGTGGTGGCCACTCCGGTGGCTCCTTCGTCTGTTCCGGGCTTGCCTCTGCCACCCCTGGAGCCGGCCACCCTCCCTCCTCCACAGGCCCAGGCACTGGCTGATGCTGATTCGCCTGGGCCGGACGGTGAGCGGGACAGTGCCACCACCTTCTGCATGCTGATCCCAAAGATACCCCAATGGAAGTTCTCCAACTCGCTACTCAGCCGAAGCCCATCTAGCTCCAGCTCGGGCTCCAGCTCCAGCAAAGACTCCGGCAAGGCCGTCCCATCTGCTTCTGGGACAGCTGCAGCCGCCAGCGGGCCTGTGGCCAGCCTGGCTGCTGTGCTGAACTCCTGTGACCCTGTTTGTGTGGGTTCCTGTTCCCTGCAGGCTGTCGCCAAGCAGAGGGGTTCGGCGGGTTCGGCAGGATCAGCCAGTCCCAGAGGTTCTGGGGGCGCGGTGACGGTGGAGGGGAGTCCAGGAGGCTCTGGAGGCTTCCGGACGGGAATGAACCGCAGGACAAGGGTGGAAGGCATGTGGCTGGGTGGAGAAGACCTCAACCATAAGGGCAGCTTCATCCACAAGCCATCCCAGGGCTGGCTGCACCCGGACAAGAAGATCAGCAGCACAGGCGCCTCCTACATTGTTAGGGTGAGTCACCAAATTATTAGCTCCAGATCACGCTGTGCTTCCTTCTCAATAGTGTTTAGCAGACTTTCAGCTCTTTACAATAAGGTACTATTGTAGCCTTGGCTGTGAGAAGCATTGTGATGGTCCATGGTTCACAGTTTACATCACCTACTCTACATTGTATTGTCCTGAGGAAATGGAAAGACATTTGAAAGGCACTACGATTTTAACAGCAAATGTTACAAACTAATGCAGGCGTAAAGAAAGAAATACACTGTTACATTTGGCTTCATGTGAACAGTGGTGTGAAATAAGAACAATAAACTTGCCAGTGTGTTGTTTGGGTCTGTGGTGCATTGTTGGAAAAGGCAGAATCTATAATTAAATTTAGATATATTGCTCTGTGAGAACACAGTGCGTCAGCACAGCATGAGGCGTGGGTAAGTAAACAAAATCATAAACACATAAATGTCAAGCTTCAAAACTAAGAAAATGAAAAAAAAAACACTTGTTTGTCCTTTGAGAGAAGCAAAGTGATAATACCGCTGTACCACAATTAGCGGCTTAACAGTATCTCAATACTCATTACTCTAATGTTAAATGCTGCTGACATTTGACATAGCCTGTGCGATCCCTTATGGTCCATAAAGGGTTACCGTAGGTGGCAGACTGCTTGACGTCGATGTCAATGAGCTTCCCCAACCCTCCCATATTGCTCAGTCTCTCTTTCTGACCTAGGAGAAAGAGAGAGAGAGAGTCTGGGCTTGAGGATGCTTCCTAATTGCATTACACAGGCACATTCATTCCTCTATTCAATTACATATAATCATAGTCATTTGTATCACATGTGCTCCAGAGGATGCAGTGTGCTTTATTGGGGCTTTCAGTAAATTTTAAATGTGACCAGCTATAGAACAACATATTAAGGGACTTCTGCTGCTTTTCTAAACGTTCCTATGTCTGAAGGGCCTAATCAAACTCTATCAAGGCCAAAACCACCTTCTTACTACAGGATCACCAAGTGAACAGTCATATTTCCAATGTTATGTGTGAGTACTTTTATTTATACAACACTATAGAATAAGTTGGTTAGACGAGTGGGCTTCATAATGCCCTCCATATTGGGCCAGCGAGTACAACATTCTACCTCTTTTTCACACTGCTGAGGGACAGCTAATGTCCTTTGAGTTTCAAATTCCTCTCTTGATGTCATTCTGGCAAAATTCACGAAGTCATGGCTTATGCAGAGTGCCTGGATTAACGCACTTTGTACAATGTAGCAAGGAGGGGCTTGTTTTGAAGTGGAAGGAGCTAGTTTCTGTCCCTCTGCAATTTCTTGGAAAGACGGGCTTTCTGGAACGGCAAACTGAATTGAGAAAACAAGGAAACAAGATTTATCAAGCAGGAATAAGTCCTGTGACAAAGAGGTCTTTGAGGCTAAGAGCGAGGGTGCAGACCTCGTCTCCTAGATTAAACACTTCCCGCCGCTTCCTAATCTCATTAAAACACACTCAGGCTCTTTGGAAAGGAGCCTTGGTTTGTTGTCGAGGAAGCCATGTTGCTAATTTGCACTACCATTTTCATACCGGTTGTGGAGAAGATGACTGTGTATAACTTTAACTAAAAAAGCTGAGAGTAAAAGTACACTGAAAAAAAGTGTTGCTTTGAATTTACTTGATTCAAATGTGTACATCGTTTCCACATGAATAAAATACATCAACAACATGCACTAAGCACATTTTGTTGGGGTGACAGAGGTTAGGTTGGGTGGTATCATCAGGTAGCAGAAAAGAGTTTCACACTGGTTTGGGTGATGAGTGTTATGAGTCACCTTCATGCGCTAAAATAACAGACAGTTAACTCTTGCAGCGCAAACTGACTAATGAGTACTACTAGCATTAGTGCGTTAAATCATTACTTTAATCAACAATAACCTTTAATGAAACCTGGCTGTGGGTCTATGGTCTGTGTGGAAGTCAATTTTAATGACTTCCTACATAAAAAAGAGACACTTATGTCTAAGGTTCCTCATGGTCATTGGCTTGGATGTAGGGTTCTAGGAAAACTTTCATTGGTATATAACCTAGTGGTTCTTTAAACTTTAAAAATATCCTTTACACTCATCATCTCATTTACAAAAAATGGTTCCTTATAGAAGTATCCACTAAAAGGTTCTTTAGGGAACCCATAGTGGCTCTTCTCCTCCAAAGATTCCTTTTTACCACCTTTATTTTTTAAGACCTCGCCATGATTTAACTCAGGCCCCTCTTTTTCAAACCCATCATGAATGAGACCAGTGAAAAAAAACCTGTTGTTCATGCGGTTTCCAAAACAAGCATTGGAAACCACTGCTTTGGATGGTCTAAAAGCCTATGACTCACCCCTCTAACGTAAAAATACCATAATTATTAGTTTGCATTGTTTTCCACATAGTCACTGAATAACTATCCTAAAGATGTAATATGCTTGTGAATTCAAGGGGTTAAATTATCCTTCAGCCAATATTAGAGGGATACAGAGTCTCCCTCAGTACTCCCAGGCCTGCATGAAATGGCCTGCTGTCTGAGCACTTCTCCTTATCCCAGAAGGCCCATGCTGCCCCCAACCCCTGCCAAACATGGGGCTTTTAGCGCTGTCTATCCACCTATCCTTCATGCCTGCTGTAATTACAATCCCCAATCCACCCATTACTCTGTCACTTGGAGGCTGAGGATGAGCTGCTGCGTTGCAGAAGATATATTTTGCACCCTTACATAATTACATGCTGTTGATTAAGCCGCAGCCTTATGTGGCATTCTGCATGTGTGCTTCTGCCACTGTCTATGCGATGTGCAACTTATCAACACCAGTGTGGTTGTGTGTGGGTGTGTGTCGGATGATGAGGATGGGGCAATTGTTACCGCTATTTCTTTTGATGACCCAAATCATAGATTAACTCTTAGAAGTCAGTTAATTCTCATAGCTAGCTGAAACAAGCAAACATACGAACAGAAACAAACAGAAGTCAGAAGTGCAGACTATAAGCCGTTAATTCAGAATGTAAATCAAATATAAATGTAAAACTTTTTATAATTATTAGTTGCATCTCTATTTCATTATTGCTGGCTCACATTTATTTAAGCTGATTGCACAGATATCACAGTATAAATAAAATTACTGACGGTTTCAGTATATATTACCATATAGTGTATTTATGTACATATTTTTTAAATAAAAGCATTTGTTTTGTCGATTAACAATAGTGAACTATTCAGGGATGTTCCTTCACTGTTAAAAAGAACCATATTTAACAACTGAAGTAAATCTATAATATTTTAATTGGACATAATAATAAAAACAACAATGAAAAATATAAAGACAGATATACGGTATATATCTTTCTAACCCTAACAAGATAAAGGCAAGTGCATGTAACGTAAACAAATGTAAAACACATGTAAAGTGGCTTCTCTGAGTCAGGCAAAAATGGTGCTGAACGCTATTTTATGTCTGAAAGTCATTTGGCCTACAGACACTACTGGAATTTATAAAATACTACTGTTGCCTGAAGCAGCTGGCTGAGCGAGAAGCGCCACTAACAGTGCATGTGGAAATCTGGCTAGTCTCCATGCTAGGCTAATGGCTGACAGCTAACCCCAAGAGAATAGCTTTTGGTGGTGTGTGCTCACTTTCCCCCTTTAACTCATTTAATTCTGATGTCTGCTCTTTCAACAACAAACTGTACTAACCTACTTCAGACTGCAACTTACTACATGGGAGGTGAGGGAATTACCATGATTTCACTCAAATCATGGTAATGTAAGTTTATGTAAGTTGTGTTATTTGGATTTTTTTTCCAATTTTCTCCCCAGCTCAGCTGTATCCACCAGTTAGGACTCCCCCAATCACATGATATCACCAGCACTAGGAGGGCGAAGGCAAACACAAGCTTCCTCCAAGTCATGTGAAGCCAGCCACTGCATCTTTTCAAACTGCTGCTAACACAACCTCACTGGGCAGCTGAACGTGCTTTGAGGAGAGTGCTTACTGCCAGTTCTGTTATGTCAGCTAGCTGACATATGCACTGGCTAGTATCACACTGAGTGATGGGGGAGATCCTACTCCCCCAGAGAGAGCGAGGCCAGTTGTGCTTTCTTGGACTCCAAGCCACAGATGGCTGTAGCATCACCAGTGATCGACCTTACAATCTTCTGATGATAAGGCCAACGCTTTGACAACTGTGCCACTCGGGAGCCTTAGAAAAGCATCATTCCTTCAAAATCACATCATGCGTCTTATGAAAACAACAAAAGTTCTGACATATTCTAACTTCTGACTGGAGCTATAGCACCTTTAGAGAGCAGCGGCAAGTAGTGTTTGTTTAGTTGAGCTCAAGCTGTTTCTGTCATTAGAGCTACTAAGGTTTGACTGCTAGAAAGCTAATCAGTTAATTTGGTCACTTTAAGCTTGTACTTTAAAAGCAGCAGACACAAAAAGACACATTGCTACCAATAGCGATTATCAGCTAAAGCTTTATGATCATGACGGACCTAGTAACTATGTAATTAATTATAAAACAGTATAGCAAAATGACATCAATAATTCTAGACTTCTAAGGGTTAAAGTTTTTGTCAGTATGGTTTGGCTTCTTGTTTTCATAAAGAAACAGTGATAAATGGACTGTTTCTAAGTTTTATATGTCTGTTTTGCTTCATATTTTTACAGTATATGGGCTGTATTGAGGTTCTCAAATCAATGCGGTCACTGGATTTCACCACTAGGACACAGGTGACGAGGTAAGCCACTTAGCTTGTTTGCTCAATGCTGCTAATGATTTGATAGTTTGTAGAAACTTTTATGTAGGAAACACTAAAACAACTACGGTACTCATTTAGTTATGTATTTGTTTTAGTGTCACTGCCATAGTAACATAGTGACAAGTTTGCTGACCACACAGTTGACTGCCACACTACTGCATGTTTTAATTCGGGCTGATAATACCAACGTACTGCAATGCTATTTAAAAGTTTATATATATATATATATATATATATATATGTTTTGTTTTGTTTTTTTGTTTTTTTTTGTTTTTACATGTAGACAACCTGACATGTAGAATTGAAACAACAGGAAGCTTGCCAAATGAAGCTCATTATCACTCTAGCAATAGAATGTGTGCCTTTAGAGGTGGAAATTAGTTCAATATCCTGGTCAGGGCTGCACAATATGGACAAAATTTCATATGCTGATTATTATTTGCTACATTCTGCAATTGTGAGAGAATGTGTTATCACAAATAACATCAAGGCTGTGATTTTGTTGCAGACACAAGCCTGAAGGCAGTAGTATTCATGACAGCACAAGATTATAATTCTTTTATAAAACAGTTCTGAAAAATAAAGAAAAAGTAACAAAGTCTAAACAAAAACCCTGAACATTGTCTCAAATGTGCTTTTAAATTGCCAATTCCTTCAGCCAAAAAAAAGTTATCTAATGTTTCCATTTTGTTTTTGTATGTGCTGAAGTAGAAACTAAGTAATGATCAGCTATTATCAATAGTAATAATTAGTAATTATCACTGAGCTGTTATCACTAATGACGGTTATCAGATTGTGTCGTCGGAATCAACTGTTGTACAAAATATATTAAAACACATTTTTGAACCTCTAATAACATTATTCAAGACTGGCCTGCAAATTTTCACCAAAATTATTTACATTTGTTGAATCGTGTGAATGCCTTGATTCATCAAAAAAAATCCAAGAATACTCATCTGGAACATCTGAGGTTGGTCAGAATGCTTGTAGCACACAATAAAATAAGCTAATTAAAAGGTTCAGTTGCATACCCCAGCTTCCTGTGATTGTAAAGGCCACAATATCATAATAATGATACAAACAACATATTGTGCAGCTCTAATTTGTGTCCATGCACAAGACTTGCTGTATGCAGCGCAGGCCGACCATGTATTAATGCACATGTCTATGTGTGCATGTGTTTGTTCCTGTGTAGGCGGAGCTGCAGATTCCCACTGGGAATGGTGCAGTCCGTCTCTCTGCCCCTGGCTATTGATCGGCAGTAATCCAATCCCCATAGCCCACACTGACTTTAAGTGCTGCCAGAACCATGCAGATGCAGATAGAGATGTATTATTGATGATGGTGGTTAATGACTGGAGAGCTGCAGCGGGTTGAGCATCGAAGAGTGTTGAAAACAATGAAGAGCGGGTTTGCGATAGACTGGTGTGTTGGGAGGCAAGAGGAGGAGATATATAGAGTGGTGCGCTTAGGGTAGAGATGTACTATGGGAGTGGTAGGTGTGTGTAGGGAAAGGATGTTCTATTGACATCAGATGTTGAGGTGGTAAACAACAATGTTACAAAGCCAATATAGGTTCTCTGTACATTTTTCCATGAACGTCTTTGAATAACAATGTCATTAAGTCGTCAAAATATGATTATTGCTACATACATGCTGCAAGCAAACCACTCAGATATTTAATTGGCATTTATTCACCACTATTATATGACAACACCAGCTACTCACATATCAGCCAAATCCACTTACCTTCAAACATTGGCAAAGTTTGCTTGTTTGTGCGGGGTATTTTGGTGAGGTTGCATGTTTTTTCATGTCAATTAAATAAGAGTGTTAGCTTGCTTGTAGCATGCATGAAACAATATTCCTATTTTGAATATTTAATAAACTCACAATTCAAACGACAGTAATATTAAGCTGTAAAACGTATGTAGAACAAAACAGAGTTTTGGAACTTGTCGGTTAACCACAAGGTGTGATGGGTCAGGCTTTGAACTGACAAATTCTTTCCACATACAAAAATAGATTAGTCCTTTTTTTGGACAGCGGTTTATGGGAGTGGTATAGAGTGACTGTGTTTAAGGAAGAGATGTACTATGGGGGTGGTAGAGTGGTATAGAGTGATTGTGCCCCATTTACCAGTATCTTCCAAAATTTTTTCTTAAATTTGTTCTTGATAAAAATCCTAAGAAAAAGTCTATGTCAGGTCATTGCATTTTAGGGAAGCGATGTACTATGGAAGCTGTAGAGTGGTATAGAGTGGTATACACTAAATTCCCAATCTGTCATCACCACTGAGCAGCTTTTTGTTTTTTATTGCGGCAGTTTTATGGCTCAGTCTGATTTGGTCAGACTCTGAAGATCAGACTACACATTTGGTGAATGGTATTCGGTTCATCTCTGGCAGATTCCAGGTTGTTCAGTTGTTCTTCTGTCACAGCTGCCGACTGAAAGTTCAAATGGCTTGAGCGTCTCCTACAGCTGTCAAAGTCGTTGCTTAGCAATGGTGTCTCAGCGGAGTGATACAGTGTTTGTGAAAAAAACGTGATGTTATGGTGAAATAACAGCACGGTTAGAACGCTCCTCAACCAATCAGCTTGCGTGGCCAGAACTAACTGTTGTATAAGTAGCCTTTAGAATGCTAACTAGCAGGCTAGCAGCATAAAGTAATAAAGTTGTATCAGCAGTCTTGCATAACAGACCACTGCCTTAAACCCAGTGTGAACTTAACAAATCGAATGTTATGGTTTTTGAAATGGTAAGTATTTTAATGTGTATCACTGCTTATAAACAGCTTTGTCTGCCATTTTATTCAAGTTTGAGAAGAGAGATGTGGCTTGCTGTGACTTCTGGGCAAGTTCTGCTGCTGACATTGGTGTTCACTCAATCCCTTGCACCTTTGAGAGATCATCTAACAAATTTCACTTAAGTTAATAAAGTAATGGAACGGCCCTTAAGGTGGTGCCGAAAATTCCTTTGAGTGAGAAGTAGACGAGGGCATGTTAAAACTGGTATTGAAATGGGCGGACTGTGTTTAGGGAAGAGATGTACTATGGGAGTGGTTTAGCCTATGATAGCATTACTGAGCAGTGTGGGCTGGCTGTGATGGGAATTGCTGGAGTTGTTGACACAATTTGCAGGGTGTGTTTTGCCAAAGCTGCCCAATATAAACTGTTTTTTTATGCAGGAGGAGGAGGGAGGTGGTAGAGGGAAGATGAGAGAGAGAGGAGAGAGAGAGTGTGGGTGGGTGGGCTCTCACATCAGTCATCGTCATGAAGCCAGCATACAATTTCTGTTAGACTGATCATGCGGTAGATAGGAAAGAACACAGCAGCGAAGAAACAGTACACACAGTCACATACACAGAAAATACACCAACATGCCAAGCGTACAGATTGACAAATCTCTCTCATATGCATGTTGCCATTTTCACCTTAAATTCAGACACACAGAGGTGCTCAGTGAACATAAAGCTATTTGCAGCCACAGCTCCCTTTCATTTTATTTAGCAATTAAGCAACAGAAGCTGGTTTATTGAAAATAATCCCTCAAAAGTCCTTCTGTGGGGACAGTCGCCACTTTTAAAATTTTAATGAGATATCCGATATCCATCGGGTCCTTCACCCAGGCACTCAGTCAGCCACCAAGCCATCAGCTCAGTGTCCCTGAGGCTGCTAGAGATGCACTGACTGACACACTCCAGCAGCCACTAGAATGGCTATTAACGTCTGTTAATGTCTACCAACATATTGAACAAAGAAAGAAGCAAAAAATCAGAATCTGACTGCATTTGAAAGCATTTCACTCCAAAGCTAGATCATGGTATTCTATTCAAGCTGAAAGGCCAAACTAATAATACTGACATATTTCTGTGGTGGATATGCCTTCTTGCACGTCTCACTCACTCTTGGCTGTGCTCCAGAGCTTGGTGGACTTTGTGGTGACCTTAAACTGGCATTAAGTCTGAGGCTAATTTCACTCAATGTTGATGTTTATATGAAAGTACTGTTTATATCAGCCTGTATAGACCTGTGCGGACGAATGGTGCTTGGCAGATGCATGTACACTAAATGTTTTCCATTAATGTCATTATAAAGACTTTGGGCACTCATTATTGTTTTTCTTTGATGTTAGACCTTTTTGAGTGACATGGCAAACAGCACATTAATGAACTTATGGAAAATATTGTTGTTTAATTAGAACAGGAATGTGAAAATACATGCTTAAATGCTGCTGCATAGAAATGGATGTTCCTTTGAATGAATTACAGCAATGACAGAAGCTAGACTTCGGTGTCCGAATAGTTGAAGTGACTTCAATAATCTAACTTCACATCTATGATAAAGTATACTGTACAAAGTACATCATACTATATGTGTTTGGGTGTGTAATATGCACATTACTGTACAAAAATCAGAGACCACCCTTTTATTTATTAAATCTGCAGGCAAAATACCAAGTACATTCTACTGATTTTTTCATAGTTAACAGAAAATTAAACAGAAGCCTCAACAAATAAATGTAATTTTTTCAGTATTTAGTTTACACACGCATTGACTTCATCACAGCTTCCATTACTTTTGGGATACTTGCTTTCTTTTAATTTCAGAGAAATCTGCAGGGGTATTTTTCCACAACTCCAAAGTTCAGCCTTAGAGTTTGGATTTTCTTTTCATAACCCTGGCACCAAGTTGTCTTATGACAGTGGAAGGATGAGAGGAGCTTGATTTTCTCTCTCAAAAAGAAAGCTATGTACAGTCAGTGACACTTTTAGGAACAGCTTTTGTTGGGAGGACATAGCTGTAACTCAGTGGTGAAGTGTGTGTATGTTTGTGTATTTTTTTATATTTACAACATTTTGGTTTTGTTACAAGAAAATATATGAAATCTCAGAAACTCACCTCTTGATGTTTTGCAGCAAGTGCAAACCAACTGTGTGTGTGTGTGTGTGTGTGTGTGTGTTCAGGGAGGCCATCAACCGGCTGTGTGAAGCTGTTCCAGGTGGGAAGGGTGCCTGGAAGAAGAAGGTAAGCAATGAAGATTATTGATCTCCACTTCATATTAACATTCAGATGACACTGTCTAAATAAAACAGCTTTATTTTGCATTAATATTTTGTCTGTAGGCTGCCAACAAAGCCCTCCAGGCCATCATGGGGAAAAGTAACTTGCGTTTTGCTGGAATGAGTATTGCTGTCAACATCTCTATAGAGGGCCTGAGTTTGCTCATCCCCACCACACGACAGGTTAGAAACTTCCATAAAGTTTTGATGTGGTTTGAGCCTCATATCTGAGACTTAACATTTCCAAGAAGCTACGTGTAGCAATAACAGACACAAATGTAATCTTAGTTACATAATGAGTTACATTTACATTCTGTATAGACATGTTCTAGTCTGCATTTTTGTCTTTTTTTGGTTTGTTTCAGTGCCAACAAATGACAAAAAAATGGCAAAATAAATAGTTTTGTTTCTTCCTCACAGCATTAATAATAAAATATCTTTTTATCTGTTTTATTCAGTCAACTTTAAGCGAGAAATACATAATATGAAATTACACCATGCTCTTGGCATGAATTGCGATAACTGGGACTTCTAAGGCTTGAAAGAATTAATCTGTGAAAAAATATAACTTAAGCAATTTTTTAAATACCTCAGATATAGCTGATGAGCCAAGACATGCTTGGTGTCCAGATTTGGCTTCTTCAGTTTAGCACTAGAGCTACAAGGCTAATGTTGCTTACAAACACTAGAGGTCAATAATCACCCAAATCAACCCGGAGTGTTCAGCTACACTGGGAAGTCTTATTCATTTTTATAGTTCATATAAAGTGATACTGTGTCCTAAACCACATTATCAAATTTGTAGAACCTTACTAAAGACACTGTAGACAGTCTGAGAGAGTTGAGCAAAGTTTTAGGGATGTACGTATGGTATCGAAGTCCAACCTTTTTTTTGGAAAGATTCAGATTGAATAGATCGACCTTGGGAGTTGTTGATTATACTGATTTTGACATTGTTGTCCGTTTCTCTCCCTCTGTGTCTTTCTGTCTGTCTCCCAGGTGATCGCACATCACCCTATGCAGTCCATTTCCTTTGCTTCCGGCGGAGATACGGTCAGTCCTCAAAACACTCATTCTCCTAATGCCTCTCTGAGCAGTCTGAGAGCTGCTTCCATTCACATCTTTAACGTCTGCCTATTAGAGCAAATTGTTTCTAACTTTATTAGGATTCAAGATATTGATATAAACAACTCATCCCATTGCACTTTTTATCTTTCAGGATACACCTGATTATGTTGCGTACGTGGCCAAAGATCCTGTCAATCAAAGAGGTATTGCTGATTTCCTAATGCATCAACTACAGTGTAGGTGTATAGGCTAGCTATATTTCATCACTTTTGATTGTCACTACTTCACTTAACTGTTATGGCACATCATAGATCTACTACTATGTCCTGATGGCTGAAACAGATGTTTAAACTGTATGCTGTCTATTATCAATACTGTAGCACTGAACATATAAAGAAATTTCACATAAAGAAATACTACCCCATTTCCAAAAAAGTTGGGATGCTGTGCAAAATGTAAATACAAACAAAATTTAATGATTTGTAAATCATTTAAACTCTATATTTCAATTGATTTCTATTGAAAATAGTACAAAGACAACAAATCAAATGTTGAAACTGAGAAATTTTATAAATAAACTTTTAAAAATAAGGCATTCCCTGAAAAAGACGTTATCTGGATGGCAGCATATGTTGCCAAAACATGTTTGTATTGTTAAGCATTAATGGTACCTTCACAGATGTGCCAGTCACCCATGCCACGTGCTCTAATGCACCCCTATAAAATCATGAAAACTGGCTTTTGAACTGTGCACTGATAACAAGCTGAGTGTCTTGACAGTGTTCATGATTTCCAAAAAGAATTTCAGATGTTGATTCGGACCACAGGACAGTTTTCCACTTCCCCTCAGTCCATTTTTAATGAGCTCAGGCCCAGAGAAGGTGGCAGCATTCCTGGATCCTGTTTATATAGTGCAAAGATTCTCTGAATCTTTTAATGTTATTATGTACCATAGATGATGAAAAGCAAAAGTTCTTTGCTATTTTATGTTGGCAAATGTTATTTTTGAATAAAAACAGTTGCACTATTTGATCGTGCAGTCTTTCACAGAGTGGTGAACCCCTCAACATCTTTACTTCTGAAAGACTCAGCCTCTCTGAGATGTTCATTTTATACCAAATCATGTTACTGACCTGTTGCCAATTAACCACCACATGTTTTTTATGCATTACACAACTTTACCAGCCTTTTGTTGCCCCGTCTCAATTTTTTTGGAACGTGTTGTTGGCATCAAATTCTAAATGGGCATATATTTAAATCAAATTTCTCAGTTTCAACATTTCATATGTTGTCTTTGAAGCATTGTATTTTGTTTTCATTTACATTTTTCACAGCATCCCAACTTTTTTGGAAATGGGGTTGTATTTCATGTGGAGTGTTTCAATTAAGCCTAAACTGCTAAATGATGGCTAAGAAAGTACCAATGCCTAAAGCAACCTAAAACCACACTCAAGCAAAAAATATTTCTCCTTCAATGACATAAGTGCTAAAATAGAAGAAAAAGTAGCTACCAAAAGTATCTGAACCCCACAGAACTACGGTGGAACAGACTGAGAAGATCTTACCTGGATATTCATAGAGTAGCTGAGGTCATTTTCATTCTGTTTTTGTAAGTCCATCTGCCTGCATGGTATGCATGCACGCAAAGGTGAGTTCAGGATTCAGCACAACATTTATTGTCTAAAATGGCTGCCCTCAGCCAAAAGATTTGGGTGACTACTTCTAGCATTTGTTAGCCACATTAGCCTTGTAAGTTACTTACTAAAGTAACTAAAGTAGCAAAAATTTGTATCCCAAACATGTCACGGCTGGTCAACTACACTTAGAGTAGGTGGAAAATTGTGTGCATTTGATTTTTTGCTGGACTATTCCTTTAAGCATGCTGAAGTCTGCTTTCCCACATGGCTAAAGTGTGCCTGTATCTTATTTCTCAGCATGCCATATTCTGGAGTGTTGTGATGGACTTGCACAGAACGTCATCAGCACTATTGGTCAAGCCTTTGAGCTGCAGTTCAAACAGTATCTGCACAGTCCACCCAAAGCCATCCCCACCATGGACAGGTAAGAGGCAGACTAAATAGCCATCAACTGATACTGATACAAAACGTAAAAAAAAAAGTAAGATTTTTTTTGATGCTCAACACAGGCAAGAAGATTCTATTAATATCAAAGATGCAGTCTTTTTAGTTCTCTTCTATATAACTTCTAATGACCATTCCATTCAGAGCTGAAAACATGCAGTGGAATATCTGATGTGCTGTTCTAAAAGCATTGTCATTGTTTTGTGGTGCACGCGGTGGTAACTGGATACAGAGAGCTCAGGTTTCTGATCGCCATCCTGTTTTGGTCCTGATGAACTAAGCGTCATTATTTAAAGCTAAATTCATTTCATTGGCTCTCAGAAGCTGCAAGCTTGATCAGGGTCACATTTTTACCAGAGCAGAAAAATAATCTCTGTCACTGTGCTCTGGATTTTAGTCCCTCCGGCAATTAACCATACTCCCTCACAGCCCGATGAGGTACAGTAATAACCCTATTTAGAGCGTGTTATTTCCAATATGACCCTATAACCTGTTTTGTGAGTGATTATCATTGTTTTATCATTGTATCATTGTTATTTATAAACGTTTGTATTCTTATGATGTTATTTATGTAATGTATTCAGTTTATGTTGTTATTAATTGATTACATGACTATGTTAACTCTTGAATGATAATGGCAGGAATATCAGGACAGAGGAGTCAGCATGGGGTGATGATGAGGAACCATCAGAGCATGATTACTACAATAGCATCCCAGGGAAGGAGCCTCCACTGGGGGGAGTGGTGGACTCAAGACTGAGACCCTCAGGAGCACTGTTGGGCCATGTGCACAGCCTACCAAACAGCAAAACAACACAGGTAAACTCAATTACTCAATAAAAAAATCAATTGCCCTGTTTAAAAAAAAAAAATAATTAAAATGTTTTCTCAATGAATCAGCAATGATCAGTTGGCAGTCTGATGATGAAAATGCATATTTTAAATTCCTCTATTGATCTCGCTTACAGCATGAAACAGCATAATGTACACACTTATATATATATATATATATATATATATATATATATATATTTATATATATATGTATATATATGTGTGTGTGTGTGTGTGTATATATATATATGTATATACATACATATATATATATATATATATATATATATATATATATATATATATATGTATATATATACTAAGAATATGAATGTAGGTCAATTTCAAGCAAAAAAAGAATCAAACTAAGAAAAATTTTAGCCACTGGATCTTAAGATAGTAGGTTTTCAGGTTGAACATGTAGAATGTTTGAGTGATAGAAGCTGCCCCTTTAGACGTGATAATGTTAAAGCTCACACCAAAGCAAGGGGGACTTGTCATCTTGTTAAGCAAACTTTAATGAAACGATATAAATTATGGCATAAGTATGAATGTTTTTAATCACATATCTGAGCACTGTAAAGTCCTGTTTAATCTGAATATATGATGAATATATATGAACTGATCTCAAAATTGTTGTGTATTTATCATTACAAATCACATTAACAGCATATGTCTGTCTGTTAACAGTTTTGACACTGAGCTGTAAGCATGGTCTTCCACGCAGTTTAATCCAGGGGTGTCAGTAGAGAATTATGAACAGGGTGGCTAAGGCTTTACCACTGGGATCAGGGGCCCCAAATGCCCCAAAATGTTTGTTCATCATAATCTTATAGAGTAAGAACAGGCATAAAATAAAGCAATGTCATTTCATAGTTTGTATTAGGTGTTGAGCTAATATGACTCAAATGATATCTACTCATTTGCAAGAGGCACAAATTAAGCAACGGTACTAAAGCAATTCTATGTGCTCTCTTAGATGTTCTGTTGCTCAAACACACCATAGATTAGTACCTGATCAGACCTGCTCCTTCAGCTTTGTTCTCTCCTTCTTCCTGCCTGTGTTATTTATTTACTTATTGTTATCAGCTCAGATTTACAAGAACTCGAGATGTGGTTAGAGGCCAACTCTTTTTTTGATGACTTCAGTGGAGCTGCCGCCTCTCATAAGGAAATTTCATATATCCATCTAAACGTTGAGGACCTCAGGGATATAAAACTGCATCATGATCAACACGATGTGACCTTTCACTCACATTAGTTTACTGTAAACCAGAGTTTATGGGTAACGTTACTACTGATATGATAGCTTCAAAAGTGAAATATGAACAAATATGAAAATAACTGATTCAAAAGCTGTCAGTTACGTTAATTTATATGTACCTCTTATGCTCGTTCACACTCTCACTGTCTGTGAAGTTTCTTAAAATTCTCGCTTATCCCTCTTAAAGTCTCACCTAAAGCAGAGACGTTATAAATAAACGAGAACGCTCGTAACTCTTCAATAAAAACACTCCGCCTGCTCGTTAAGCCTCTAGCGGTAAAAGCACTCGTCAGAGGTGGAGATCTGCGCAAGCCCAACAGCCAGAGCAAACCGAAACAGGCTTTGTGCGTTAACCTATATGAGCCAAACGTTACAAACTGTTCGTGAGGGTTGTGGGAGATTTTTCCAGTTATTTCACACATTTTGAAACGGTAACTTAGTCGTCGCTTTCGAGTTTTTAGGTCTTTCCCCGTTCAGGTCCTGTACTGCCGAGTGATCAGACTTTCCTATAAGGACTGCCTAAAGTTAGCTACGTTAGCTAACCTAACAAGCAAACAGTAAAAACTCAATAGCCAGCTATATTGACCATAATTTGTCACAAATTCATATTGTAGTCGTCTTCACTCTGCAATTACTTACTGTTTTACTCTGTACATGATGTATTTTGAATAAGGCCTATTGTTTATTTTATTTTGCTTTTGGCCAAAATCCTGCCGCAGTCGCCAACCGACATTACCTCGCGTGAGCAGCACCAGACACCCGCCCCCAGGTCTGATATGATTGGCCAAGCCGGCAGTTACATTTTCCCCCGTGTTAAACGGCAAAGGGCTGCCCTTTTATGTAATCCCCCAGTTCGCGCCCTGCTTTTACAGTATAATGTAAATGGCCCAGTTTAAGAACCAATTAGTAAAACTATTGATGATTAGAAGGTATAATGTAGATTTAATAATTCTGAGTAATTTACTGCCATCTGCACGTTTGTTTTGAGGAGCTCTAACGTTCAGAGAGGTTTAGAGAGATTGTGATTGGCTGAGAGACATGCCCATCATTATTTTGCAAACGGTCAATTAATTGGCACAAATTAGTTGATTGCCCCATCACTATAATATAATTTATAGTAAAATCTTAGTGAACTTCTGACTGATGATTTCGAATGCAGTGCTGGGACTCACTCCCAGTTACTGTTTCCATATGTCCTCTGCTTCACCTGAGCTGCTTGGCCATCTGGGGAGCCAAGCTGGGAGTATCAGCAAGGAAAACTGAAAAACAAGGCTACAGGCTAACAAGATAGTTAGACTGCACCTCCTTTACAGTTCTTAATCTGTATGTCTTCTGTGTTTAAACATTCTTTGTGTTCTGTGGCCAAATGGTTTATTACCTATATGCTTTTCATGTACAACAACCTAAAAATCCCTAAAATCCCGATGAAATTGAAAATTCTCTATAATGGTTTGAAACGACTCAGCGGCATAAAGTAATGAAATATAATATTTTGAGGTTTCTAGGTAATATCCATATCACCCACTCTCGCTAATTAATGCTGACAAGAGAAGTTATCCATCTTCTCCTCAGCCTTTCTAAGAGCTTTCAGTAAGCTTGCAGCCAGTGGAGCCATCATCAGTAAACCTAGAGAGACTGTGCTGGTCTTATAAGCCTAATGTTCATTTCAGCTCTGATGCAAAATGACAGGCTTCTGCTAATGTTGTTTTATTGCTATGGCTCGATTCACTAATAACCTGAAGTCTGTTTATCTGACATTTATAAGAGTTCATTCAAACTAATGTGGGAATTAGAGTGCATTAGATCATTGGGGGGAGGGCTATGTTTGTTATTGTGAGCTCCAAAAGAAGAGTTCTGGTGCATGCAAAATAATAACCCATCTAATGTGATTAGAACCTTGTTAACTAGCAGGCCTTGTTAGCTACCAGATCTATAATCATTCGGCTCTAGCCTCAAACCAATGTTTGCTATTTGGAGTAGACTTCCAAACACATTCATTCTTGTGTATATTTTCAGGCTGGATCTGCAATCAGGAGAGATGTGTCCTCTCTCCCTGCAGCTCAACTGTGTTATGAAGTGCACTGGGACACAGAGAACGGCAGTAGCTCAAGTGAGACACACTGCATATTACTGTCCTGAATGTATATTTTAAGAGCTTCAGAAACTGTATGTATATTTCATTTCCCCCCGGAGGGCAAATTACTACTAATCAATCAGAGTGCAGGAGAGGAAAATAATAAAAGCCAGTCATGCACAGGAGGGAAACTCTGTGTAGCCAATCAGAGCATAAAAGAGAATAGCAGAAGCCAATCAAAATGTATGTGGAAATATACTAGTAGCCAACTGGAGCACAAGACCAAAAATACTAGACAGAAAAAAATCAATATGACAGTCATAACTCAGGAGAGAAAATCCCTGTAGCCAATCAGAGAACAGGAGAAAAAAATCCCAGTAGCCAGTCAGTGAACAGGAGAAAAAAAAATCCAGTTGCCAATCAGAGAACACAAGAAAAAATCCCAGTAGATAATCAGTGAACAGGAGAAAAAAATCCTGGTAGCCAATCACTTGGAAGGAAAATATCACTAGTCATTCAAAGGTCAGGAGGGAAAACATCACTAGCCAAACAAAGAGCAAGAGAGAAAGGTACCACTGGCCATTCAGAGACCAGGAGGGAAGAAAATCAGAAGACAATCAGAAGGCAGGAGGGACGATACTAGAAGCCAGTCATAACACAAGCTGGACTGTAAGAGGAAAAATACCAGAACTCAGAATGGAAAATAGCAGAGGCCAATCAAAGCAGAGACGGGGAAATGCCAGGAGTCAATCAGAGTATGGGAGGGAAAATCTTAATAGCACATTTGAACATAAGAGGAAAAAATACTACTTGCAAATCTAGTGCAGAAGGGAAAATCCTAGTATGTAGTCTGAGTGCAGGAGAGAAAATATTAGCCAGAGCATAGTAAGGAAGAATGTATTTTTGGGCAGCACCTTGGAACATTTTCTTAAAAAAAAAACTCATTGTCACTATCCTTAGTCAACTATGCAGGACTGCATTTCACTGTATAAAGCATAGATTAATAGGTCACGCAGCATTATATCAGATCCTTTTTTTAATTGCTGCTGGCTGATTGCATAGCTGTATATCATTTGCAGGTTTGACATCTGATGGATATTTGAGAGCAGATGGACATCCTCCTGGAAGCCGGGACTATGAAGAGCACCTGTATGTCAACACACAGAGCCTGGACAACATGGACCCTGCAGCAGACAGGCAGGGAGGACGCAGACCTGAGAGCCCCAAGAAAGACATCTTTGACATGAGTAAGTTAATCTAGCCAAAAGGTCACGGTCTTATAGTAGCTCAGTATTGGACCTCTGATATAGGTCCCCAGGTACGACCCAGTGTAGACCTATTCCAGGGTTGTGCAAGTAGTTGTTTTGTTTGGTTCTGCTTAAAGGGACACTCCAGCCAAAATGAACAATTTAACCACTGCTACATCTGTTGTAAACATGCTCACTCACATCCTACAGCAGTGTAGCAGTAGTCTCTTGAATGAGATTTTCAGGTTCAAAGACTAGGAAAACCCCCTTATGATGATGTATCTTGAAGGTGGGAGGAACTTTTGACAAATTACAAGTGCTTTGGGTGGATATGCGATATGGCCTTTAAGTGGCCTTTTTTCCTCTAGCTGGCTAATGAAGCCAGGTAGCTAATGCTCTTGCAAGGAAGCTGAATAGCACATCTAAATTTATTGGCCTCTACGTTAATGGATTTCTTTATTGTCATAGGGAGGATTCAATGTTGTATGATGTATTTGGGTATTGTAGTGACAGAACACTGATGGATGAAAACACAAACAGGACACAAAATTATGAATTATGCCATACTTATAAGACTGACGGATACAATGCTATGGTACAGAATATTACCTAACATGAAAAAAACATGAAATATTGTTAAATGCTTTAACTTTTAAAAGCCACAATTCCCCTTTATCTCACCGGATGGTTTAGTAAGTTGTTTTTATATTATGCAGTTTTAATGTACATTAAAACAACACATTTAAAATCTCTCAGTATTACACTTCTTTTAACAATTCTTTCAAATGGTAGGTGCTCTCCATCTGATCCTGTGTATTCCCAGGGAAAACCCACCCCAATTCACTATATGAATGACTCCCAATCCTGGCCCTGGAGTACCCCTACCTTACATTGTTTAGTGTTGTCCTGCGCTGATACTCACATCACTTCAGGAAAGGCTTGTTAATGAGCTGGATTGGGTTTCCCAAAAGCATCTTTTCACAAAGATCATATTGAAATGGTAGGGCGAGCATCACACTTAACACTCTCGCTGCCAGTTAGAATGATCTTAATGTTTCTGGGAATCTGGGACCTGATTTGTTGGATCATGTGTGTAGGACCAGGCAAAAAACTAAAATATGCAGAGCCAGAATACTCCAGGACTAGGTTTGGGAATCACTAAACATATTTGGTCTTCTGTGCTTAGCCACTACTCACTCTCTGACCACTCTGTGCTGCTCTCAGGACCGTTTGAGGATGCTCTGCGTCTGCATGAGGCTGGTGGTGGTGTGTGTGTGCTTGAGGACCAATGGCCGAGCCCCCCGCGCCGCCGAGCCCCTGTGGCCCCCACGGAGGAGCAGCTCCGCGGAGAGGCCTGGTACCACGGCCGCATGAGCCGCCGCGACGCTGAGAAGCTCCTGATCCGTGATGGAGACTTCCTGGTGCGGGATAGTGCCACTAATCCAGGGCAGTATGTGCTGACGGGGATGCACTGTGGCCTGCCCAAACACCTGCTGCTTGTGGACCCTGAGGGAGTGGTGAGTTCATTGTTCTGTAATGGGTCAACAGCATGTAGACCACGGCTCTGAACTAGTCCCTTTGCATGCCCGCAATATTCTATCAATGCGTTGTGAGGTATATATGCATAACTAAGTATACATTTTGCTTAAGACAAATGCTAATATATCTAACGTTGCATCATTTTAGAGCATTATTCTATCCCATCCCTCTCCAATTGAAAGGTGGAAGGATAACATGAAACACGCCCATAACTAAACTACGAGAGTATTTTTAGGTATTTTATGGAGTCTTTAGCTACTCAGAGAAAAGCTGTTAACAACTTGAAAAGCTCTGAAGCATATCAGTACCTTCACAGCAGCAAGACAAGACAGGTAATGATGATAACTGTGTGCAATTACATCAGTTACATCCTTTTGAAAGTAGACAGTGAGCCTAGCCAGGTTTCCACTGTGCTTGAGTGGAAACAGACACAGTGGATCATGCATAGCAACACTTGGGAGGTCATACAGTGACGCTACAGCTTTTTTATGGAAGGTTAGAGGCCAGCAAGCATAGATCGATAGATAGTTCATGAAGTAACACTAAATCAACCCAGACATTTACAAATGTGGAAGCCCATGAGTACCCTGGAAAGGCAAAGGATACCCTTAGAAATTCACTGCTCATTTTCCTTAATTCATCCATGTTGGTACCACTTTATTTATGACAGTTTGCAAATCACATTATGTGTCTTTCCTCAAACATAAATTAGAAGATTAATCTTTTAGTCACAAAGTTTTAGTTTGTATCGTTGTAGGCACAGACTGTACTTCAAAACATTTTGCAAAAAATAAAGTAATATTTATACAAATGAACACTTTCCCAACAAGATGTTCCATATCTTGCTATATAGATATCATTATTATTGTAAACAGTGCTTTCAAGTTGGTTCTGACTCCTAGTTGCGATATGGATAGTGTTTCTCTAGAGTGCCCTGCCTTCTGTTTGGATCTTTGGGCATCTTAATGGCCTGTTCAGTTCATCTGTGATTGTGCCCATCCATCTTGTAGTTGGTTGTCTTTTACCTTCAACTGTTGCAAGCACTATTGTCTATTTGAATAAGTTGGTTCTTCTCACAATATGCCCAAATTAAGAGAGCTACAATTTGGTTATCTGGGCTTTGAGTGAGAGGTGAGGCTTGATTTGGTTAAGAATCCATTTACTTGTTTTCTCTGCTATCCAAGGTTCTCTCAAAAGTCTTTGCCAGCTTTAAAGTTTAAAGGCATCAACATTTTTCCTATTCTGCTTTTTTGTTGTGCAGTTTTCACATCCACAAAGAACCACAGAAACCTCATTATTTCCAGCTTCTCATGGTTTATACTCTGTACAATCCAAATTCTGACTGTGATTTTATTTTTGCAGCACTGAATTCTCTTTTCTCAATTGCCAACACCAACAACTAGACATCCAGAAGGCTTTAATCTAGCCATGTCATGCGCACAAGACCTACTCACAGGAATCCTTACCTCTTTGTCAGTCATATGACGAGTACCTTCTGACCTGAGGATTTCCACATGATTCCCATACGGCACTGGCATCTCAACAATCATTCTGCAGTGCTTATACGGCCTTGCAAAAAAAGATTGTAGTATAAAACTCAGTGAGATCAGGCAAGAGTGCAGTCTTCATGGACAGTGCTTACCTTGGACTAAAACAGGGGAATGACTTGAGTTCAGAAAAACATGGATCCATATTTGAACTTCATTGACAACATCTTGCAAATATCTACCATTTGTTTTTGGTAACTAATGTGTTTTTATTTTCTTCATAACTCTCAGGTCCGGACAAAAGACATGCTGTTTGACAGCATCAGTCACTTGATCAACTATCATCTGAGCAACAAGCTGCCCATTGTAGCGGCTGAGAGTGAGCTCCACCTCCAGCAGGTGGTCTGCAGGAAGCAGTGACCTCCACCCAAGCAACACACATGGAAGGGTAAGAATCCACACGATCCTAAGTAAAGTAAAATGAACTAACCAGTCATAACAAGTCTGTGTGTTAAATGCAGAGTTAAATTTTGCTTCAGATTTTTTAGATTTGAACCTCTTATGGAACTGGCTTGTAACTCAGTCAGTCAATCAGTCACTTACTCACTCATGTTTAGCAGGCACCTTTAGCAATCAAACTGCTTTTGATGCTCCATAAGAGCAATGCTTCACATCAGTGATACTGTGTATCCTTATTAAAGACATTTTTAATAAGTTTTTCTGGTGCAAACTTTTTAGTTCAAGCTTTTTAATAAATGGGTGATGACATCTTTATTGAATCAGCTCACCAGGAGACATTATGTTGTTATTTTGTCCCAGGTTGTAATGAAGCTAGGCCTCATTCTGTGCAGACGAGCCTGAGGCCCCACACTTTTGCCTTAAACACGGACTCTCAGCTTCCATTGGACATGCGGAATCACACATGGGATTCAAACTACGACTCCCAGCATGCCCTTCTGTTCAATCAACAGTTTGAACCCAGGGCCAGCCAGACAGCTCACTGAATGGGAGTCCACTGCGCATTTCCTAAGACAGATATGTGCAATTTACAGCTCACATTTGTCTTTTTACTCTGGAACGTTCCAAATGAGGTGTAATTAAGAGTCGCCTCTTTGAAAATGTGAACAATCAGTGACTACGCTTGAGTGCATTCATGTTCAATGTGCCGACATTCAGTTATATCCGGGTAGTGGGTCAGTTTCGGAGTCAAGGTATTAATGTCTTCAGCCAGGAGATGGGCACAAGCTTCTCGTTGTGCTATACGATTTGTTCTCAGGATGCAGTATTTCATATGGACATTAAGTGGACATATGATGTTTCATAAGCTTGATGATATCATCTGTGTTATGCTGTCTTATCCAGTACATGTATAATTTATGAAACCTCAGGACCAAATGCACGGTCATGCTTCTGTAATGTTTTTTTTTTTTTTAATCATAATATCAATTTGGAAATTCATTGTCAACTTTTACATAGCAAACCGGCATATCACATATTGTGGGCATGGCATTTCACATTTCATCTCCATAGAACTAACAGACAAAATGTACATCTTACTTAAACATGGTAATTTCATATAATATAATAAACTTTTAAGTCCTAGACTTTCGGGTAGTTCAGTAGATACAAGGTTGCCTCTGTGAAGTGGCATATATGCACTACAGATGGAATATTGGTTTCAGGTTAATATTAGCAAAAGATGCTGGACTGTAAGTAGATGGACTGTAAAGAAAGAATAAATTCAATCCATTTCTGTAACCAAACTAGCCTGAAATAGCCCCACTCACACTGTGATGTGATGTTATTAGCTCTGTATATCTTCCTGTATAGAGCATTTGAGTAACATGCCTGCTTTTAGATGCTCATCTTAAAAGAATACTAAGGCAAAAAATTAAATGAACCATTGTCCATTTATCTCAAATGTAGTCAAATAGCCAAGACATGTTGGGTGTTCAAATGATGCTTCTTTAATTTAGTGCTGGAGCTACAAGGCTAACATTGCTAAAAAAACAGTAGTCAATAGTCACCCAAACCTTTTCCATAAATACATCCCCAACACTTCTCTCAACCTGCTCAAACCACATCCAGGTCCTCATTAAGGGTTTAGGACACAGTGTGATTTGCTGTAAACTATAAAAATGAACAAAAAAGTCACAGTATAGCAAAACACAGCAGGCAGCCAATTTAGACAAGATTACGTTAATGATTTCTGTTCATAATGTATATTTCTATTTATAAATATATCTTTAAAGTGTGACAATTCAAGATTAATTAGAAACAACAGAAATTGAGAGTGTATTGCTTTACTACCTTCCATGTGCATGTGTGCATGCTAAAATGGCTGCCCGCTTCCAATAAAACAGCAGTATGTGAGATTTTTAAATAGTCAGGAAAAAATACACACTAAAATATGGTGTCTGTACGTTGCTATGAGTCACCCTGTAAAACATAAAATAATAATTTAAAAGACAGAGGCTTCGGGTCAGATTTCCCAGGAGTGTTTTGGACCGTCATGCGTCTTTATGTATTAACGTCACACATACAGGCTCTTTGAAAAATCTTTCAACACGGTTCTAATGGCCAGATTTATCTGTTCGGGGAAGGGGTCCGAAACACAACCAACGTTACAAGTGTTCTTCTGCAAGTTACGTGCAGTTTCCACCAGAGAAATGTGTAATGCCCAAATTTTACATAGAAATGTGTGATCCCCAAATCTTACATAGTGCAGCTTTTGAAATAGTTAATTTTGTATGATTGTAATGGCTGATACTCGATATCAGTAATGACATTGGAAATGAATTAGTGCCATCATGTGAGCTCTAATTTGCACTGTTCACAGTGATTTTCAATTAGATTTCCTCTTTAGTTGTCTAACAGGAATTGGCAAAAGGCTCAAATATATATACAGGTTGAACATCTACAAAAACAAATTGTTTTGTCCGAAGTATCTGCACTGAACTACCTAAAGGTGTATTTATATTTTTAAAGTTAAAATGAGGTATTGACCCCCTTTTAAGGTTGAGTTCCTAAGACCATGAAATAATACTAAGAGGCTGTTTGTTTTTTTTTCTGTTTTTGGGAGGCCATGTAGTCATTAACCATAAAACAATACTAAGAGGGTTTTTTTGGGGTGGGCATGTCGTCAGTAGCTCCGAAAATAAAAAGAAATTAAAATGAAAGGATTATACTATTAAGTTTCCTGTGGTCATAGATATGTTTCCCATCCTCATTGGGACCATGTTGTAACTTACCACCATTTTCCTGGTTACAGTTTGTTACAAAGGGTAAAGATTTTCTTTTTCCTAAGCACCTACAGTTAATAGCCTTGTGCCACAACCCAAAACATGCAGGCTTCACTTCATACAGTATTTTCCTCTCTGTCCACTCTCTGTAATAAACTACGGGGGTGGTTCACTTGAAATTGCTGAAATCAACAGTAGAGAGGTTGGTCGATTTGACCACTTAAATTTTGCCGGACATTAAAGGGAAATTGAACTGGTTTTCAAAAAAAATTGCATAATACAGAAAACAAAGGAGGTCATGGTTCATTGTGGAGAAACTTCCTGACTCCTGATTTCTTCACAGTGGTGGTGATGGGAACCAGAGGTCAATACGTACAGTGCAAATATAGCCATTTTATTTACTGTCCAAAAAAAACAGTGAGCCTACCCATGTCTAATTTTTTACACGTAATGCTGATAATGGAAAAGTAGTGGTAAATTTGCTTGGCCTTATAACACTCTGCATGTGTCTCTCTGCCATACAAAATGCATTTTGGGCCAAAACCTCACCTCAAAACTACTCTAAAACAATGCCTGATGCATCAAGCAACGCATTCAGATGTCTGGTTCCTATTACGACCACTATGAGCAATTTTGACTTAGTAAGTTTCTCTAGAACAGAACATTTCACATCAAACCACTCTGAGTGACTTTGTTCATAACTTAACAATGTAGTTATGCAGAAAACTTGAAAAATCAGTGGAATTACCCTTGAAGACCCTTCTATAACTGTTGTCTGATTAGATAGTATTCCTATCCTGAAATATGTTTAATCGTATCTTAGAAGTACTACAGAAAGACCCAAGTTAAAGGCATGTAAAGCAGTAATAAATATGTGTTCTGAGTTTGTCACACCACAGATTGTGTTACCAATCACCCAGCCAAATTTGAATGAATAAAAAAAATCAATAAAATTAATTATAAAATTAGATTCCAAAATTGTGAAAAATAAGCAGTATTTTCTGCTCGCCTGCTGTAGGTGTTGAAATTGCCCAATCACAGGAAAGGTGCAGTCTTTCTTAAATGTCAAATATCACTGCAGCCTGAAAAATGGATGCTCCATCCATCAGCTTTATTATGCTGGACTTAAAGCCATGCATGTTTGACCCACAAGAGCCAGAACCCAATATGGAGCCATAGGACACTCACCTACCCAAGCATCATCCTCGTTCCTCACGGTCTGCCACAGAATTATCATTTTTTTCGCCCATTTATGCAAGGCGTAGCTAGCAAAGGCTAATGGAGAAGTAGTAGCCTGTAGCCTGTTAGCCCTGTTCCATAAACAGCCATTCCGGCTAACGCTAACTTGGACGGCTAACATATCTTCAACTGAAACAGCCGGCTAACTGTTAGTGCCTTTAGCTTAGCCAAAGTTAGCGAGGCTAGCGGTGTAGTTTTTAAACTGTTTTAGTGCTAGGCCAGGGGTCATGCTAAGTATGGTTCTAGTGTGTCATCGAGCCATGATTTCAGGCCCGTCCAAAAAATCCTGAACACAAAATCATGAAAAACAGTTTAACAGTTTAACTCCACAATTTAGAATTACGTAGTTCACAGTCATGTTGTCAGCAGGTATTTTCTCACATGTTTCGAAACAATCTCTGGATTTCCTTTACACAGACTTTAAAGGCACGTTTCTACAGTGCCTCACGAAGGTTCTTGAACCACAACAAATACACTGATTACAGTAGCACTTTGATCGTTCAGTGACTGAGACAGCTCAGCTCTGCATTTTACTTCCTGTCTGCTTACGTTGAACAGCCATGTGACTGACAACACAGCTGCAATATGCATAAGTATTCACAACACAAAATACTCTGTGTATTCCTTCCTTTAGCTGCTGTCCTGCAGGGTATCTGTGAATCACTGTTACATTCCAAAAACCTTCTCTGAGATATGACAATGTAATTTACATGTGAATAAAATATATTTACATCAACACAATTCAAAAGTATGTAAACTGATCTAATATATTTGATTTGTGTGAAAATGATTTTACACATTTAAATGAATCACTTTCTTCAGTGCACATTAATGCAGGTATTTTGCAACAGAGAGGTTACTGACCATCTTGAAATGCTGATGTTTGCAGAATCAGCGGTACAAGAGCCGACATGAAACACAGAGACTTGTCAGGTTGCCATGAATCCACACATCCCCTCCCATCCAGACTGCTTTCTCAGCATATTCGTGTAACCATTGAGTTGCTGTTCCAATAAAGTACAAACAGGACAACAGTGTGTGGGTTATTTATTTCTTAGCTTCTGTGCTAAGTGGGTTTGAAGTGTTTCAGTATTTAGACGAGTGGTCTTGCAAAGCCTTGCTCAGCAGTTGTGGATGTGCACAGCTATGGCAGCATACTCTGAACTTTATTCAAATTAAAATGCACATTTTAAACTTGAAATGCGAATTCAATTGTGTATTTACAATTGCATTTCCATTGTGAGTGTGCATTATCAAAGACATTCAAATTCATATGCAAACTGTGTATTTGCATTTGCATTTCTGTATATAGAGACTGGAAAAAATTCATATGCAAAAGCAAAGAGTTTTTGACATTTCATTCTCATTGTCTTAATAGCCTGACTCTGACCTATTTAAAAAGGAAAAAACAATTTGCAATTGCAGTTCCTTATTCTGGCACCTCAGCTCTGCCAAAATCGTAATGCAATTGCAATCCTGTTTGCAACAGGCCCTTTTCACATTTCCACATTTTTTCTGCTAGAAGTAATCGTTGCAGGGTAACGCTGCTTCTGCTAAAGCAATAACAATAGCAAGGATGACGAGTAGAGCGTGTACAGCTTGCTCGAGTGTTCGAGCTTGAAGCAAAAACAGCCTTATCTCAGTTTCAGTTGTTTGCCCGCTGACCATGAGCAGAGGAAAATGGGTTTGCGCAGTTATCAAAGAAATAAACTGTGTCATTCGGAGTGAAAGAACCTCTGTGTGAGCATTTCACCGCTGCTGACTAACGTTACACGGAATGCAATTTGTGCTTTAAGCTTGCTGCTGCAGCCGCTATCAGTGGAACCGTTTTCATCTCTCCCTGAAAAACTATCAGTAACTGAGAAAGCAAGTGTTCCTCATGGAGTAGATGTTGGTTCACTGGAGCTGGTGTTTCTGGTATTTTCACCTGTCCATTGATTTATTACTTTGAAGATATTAGCTAGCTGACGTTGCTGTACCATGATAGCTGTGAAGGAGTTTTTCCATGGAGCATTTATATTCTTTATTTAGTTTAGACTCCCACATTGTTGTGTGTTCAGTGTTCTTCAACAATTTTGGACACATCCTCGAATTTCAATCTTGGTAACTATGACAAAGATGAAGTGACTGAAGTTGGTAACTGTCTGTAAGGTAATAGCGGAATATTTTACCCAGTGTTTATGCAATTCTGTTTCTTGTGAAAAGGGCTTCCTGTCAATCAAACTCTGATGGCTGGGCATCAGGAGGGACTTTTTAGTGCGGGACGCGTTTTAAGAGGAAGTGATGAGTCTAACTTTGGCGGCTCTGGCGCAGAGCTAGATGCTTGTTGAATGCAAAATAAAGCGCCAATAGCAACTGGTGAGTGACATTTTAACACTCATGAACCAGGCCAAGGGCTGGTTTTCGGCCGGAAGTGATTCTTGACCGACTAGGACAAAACCTTTGACCTTGGACTTTCTGGGTCAAAGTGCTGCAGAGATTAGCAATTACCCTCATCTAACACTCTGAATTCAGTTCATGAAGGCCTTGCTAATTAGCTGATGAGCTGAATCAGGTGTGTTTAATGAGGAAGTGTGCTGAAGTCTGCAGGGTTTTGGCCTGCAAGGACTGGAGCCTAACATGTGTGGCCAATGAGTATCTTATGCCATTTTTGTAAAGAGCCCTTAATGTAACATGGTGATTATTTTATACATTATGTATGTGTATATATATATATATATATATATGTCATTTTGGGCTGTTTCTTTTGGTCCATTCTTCATGAAATTTACACACAGTATAAAGGTCTGTTATGTACCATACGTTAGCAAATCAGGTCTGTTCCACATTTTCATAATCCTGAAATACTTTAAAACCAAAAGGCCTTATTTACTATCTAAAACCGCTGTTTTGGCTTTTAGAAGTTTCTTCTAAGTTTTCATATGCAATTTTGGCAAAAAAAAACTTTTTGTATTAAAAGATGTTTGGGGCAAAACCTTCTCAAAACTATTAAAAAAACAATGTCTCAGGCATCAGGCAGTGTGTTTGCTGCTGTTTCATGTATTAAGAGGGAACTTTTTTCTTCAGATGTCTGGTTCCTAGTACCACTACTGTGAACAATTCTGACTCAGTAAGTTTCTCCAAAATGGAGCATTTCACATCAAACCACTCTGAATGGCTTTGCTTACATCTCATCCATTCAATTATGCAGAAAATTTGAGAAGTCGGTGGAGTTCTCCTTTCATACAAACATAATTTAGAGGTCAAGAGAAGCATTCAAACTCCAAAAAAAAAAAATACTGAGAGTGATAGATGAGACGGAATGGTGATGAATGGTGCAGCCATTGATATTATGTTACTGAATAACATTCATGTAATAATTAATATGCAATTGAATACATTTTGAAGGTGACTTTCCAAAACTTGCATGAACCTGAATCAGCAAATCCTCATTAGAGCGCTGGAAAAATGATACATGGAAGACAACAGTGCTGTATTTCTTAGTGTTTATTGAAATGTTGTATAAAATTCTTGGTCATCACCCTCTAGTAGGATAGGAACTAATAAAGCATTGCAGATAATGTCAAACGTATTCATCTCCGTCATATTCCAAAACTATATCTGCTGACATCCAGCTTAGCAATTCACATTCTACTCCCAGACATAGCGCTAACAGTCGTCTGCCCTGCAAGGCTTTGCATAGTGTCAGTCCAGCCGGTTCATCTGCCTCAACTCACTCACTGCATTCATTCGATCCTGCATGAACTGTATATTGCTGTCAGTTTAAGAACAGTTGGGTGTGTTTTAATGGCTCGGGCCCTTTTGGGACATTCGGAGGATCTGGAGTAAAAGAGCCTGCACCTCCTCATCCATTCGACCCTGCAAAGTGTAACATACAAACAGACATCTTTATTAGCCCTTCAAACTCTAAGCTTATTATTATTAATTATTCAGTAACTGCTATAAAACTGGTCATGTATTTAAAGCAGTAAAGAATGAATGACCAAACCCACTGATGGTCCATATGATTTAAGGGTTTAAGCAGGACATAGACATGTCTTGTAGAGAACAGAAAAGCAGACAATATACCGTAATGAGACATACATAAAGCCTATGCATTACTGACCTGTACTGCAGCGAGGAGGTGAGAGCGATATATGGCCACCACTGCTTTGTGCTTGCGCTCCCAGTCCTGACAAGATACACAACAAAAACTTACTTTATTTTCACACTGCACTCTAATTCAAGTGGACTGAGCTCTAATTTAGAGCTGAGTACTGCCCCCACCTGGAGTTGCTGTGTCAGTGCAGATATACGGTTCTGAAGTGCCAGCTGCTGTCCTGGTATTCCAGAAGAAGGAGTGGAGGGGGGCAAACCAAGAGGAGGAGTCAGAGCCCCCAGAGCCTCTTTTAGACGGAACACCTCTTTCGACAGCTCTGTGATCTACAGGAAAAGAGAGAGGGGGAGAGAAAAGTGGGTATTAACTAAAGCAGTATTTTCCACTTCTGAGAACTTCAATACAGTATATACACTATAGCAACAGACATTAAAGTGATGGTTTGGCCAAAAAAAAGAAATTATTATTATTATTATTATTTTACAATATACCTCAAATGTAGTCAATAAACCAAGACATGTTTGGTTTCTGAAGTCTGCTTCTTTAGTTCTGCACTGGAACTACAACGTTAATGTAGTTAATAAATAATAACTTCTACTCGCCAATTAGCATTGTTCAAACGGCATTCCACACTTTCTTTAATCTGCATCAAGTTGTTAGGTAATCTCAAATAGATTTGTTTATGGGATTTCTGACATTGTGTGTCACTGTCATCTATACAAATTCAGGCTTCTACGTGGCTGCTACTATTTTTTTAGTTGAACAAGATACTTTAGTTCATTTTACTAGATAACGGTAAATAATACAGCATCACACGTACATAACCAAGTCCATTTGAGATTATTTCATGACTGGATGCTGCCTCAGTATGATGCTAATTGGTAGGAATAAGCTCCTGATTACTTAATTACTTCATAAGGGAAATTAGATTCTGTCAAGTGTACAGACTTTCCTATAAAGACTTCAGCTGCACACGCAGGTCACTCCACTGTTGCCGACCACGGTTGTGTTTTCTACACTATCAGTGTGCAGCACTATGCTCTCGTAATTATCTGGTATAATTATGTTCACAACTGTGTTTTTACTCTTCATGGTTATCGAGTTTCCTAGCTTGCTATCTGCCCCATTTTCCATCGTTAATCTTCTGGTCCAGCCTTGGTCATGCCCATTTTGCAAAGTGACACAAACTGCAAATGTCTTGTAAGACTACGACAAGGGGGCATTCAGACAACACATTTTTAGACACAAGGTGGACATGCCTCTGAGTAGGGCAATCCAACGCACTTGATAGACACGTAGAAAAGAGCAAACACGGAAGACCGACCATTAAAGCAATAAGCCATGAGAGGCCATTCGTAACTGTGATTTTAGCACAGGCAAGGGTGTTCTTAAGCACGAAGCGAAGCGGAGTGCCTAAAACGGAGTTTCCGCCAAGAATTGTAGTTCCTTTAGAGTTTAATATCGTTGCCAAGCAACCATGGATCGCTGAGTGACATGAATGTTCTGTCGCTCATCGCTGTATACTCCAGTCATTTCATGACTTTTTTAACTTTTTGTCATATAACAATGATAAGACAGCACTGTTTAATGCAAAAACTTTTGCTTTTTAAGTACTTTTTCGTCACCAAATTACCACCGCGAGTCTTATTTAGCACCAATGCAGCGGTGCCCCTCTTGGAGTTGTTTAGGCTGACCAGCCTAGTTCTAGTTAAGAGAATAAGTCGCCAGCCCCTCAGTTTAAGCAAAAAACAAGTTAGTACTTAATCAATGTACTCGGTGGTCCATGCGAGCAGAATGAGAGTCAAAGATTATTCCATTAACAGCACAAGGGTTTTTTTATGGCAAAAGTTGATGTTTTTTTAACTTAAACATGTGGTTTAAGAACATGAAATGCATTGTGCAGGCTGGAGGAGCACTTTTCCTTCGCGGACTG